TTAAAAGACAATTAAAATTGAAAATATGGCCGTTATTGGGTCTCACTCGTCTAATAAAAGTCAACAATAACGGCTATATTTTCAATTTTAATCTGATTTTAATCCCTCCCATACAAGGCCTAAGTCTCTTGGATAATGCAATATATGTTCTATCATCAAGTACCTCAGTTCCAGCTGCGAACTTATCAAATTCAAACACACCCATTGGTCCATTCCAAATTATGGTTTTGGTAGCATCCAAAGCTTCACTAAATGATTTGATAGAGTCAGGTCCAATATCTAATCCCATCCAGCCATCTGGGATTCCAGATGCTGGAACAATCTGCCAAAACATTGAGAACATCTCAATCGGCATGTATTCTAGCAACTTGAATTAGAATATTAGGTGCTGCATTCTTTTTCTTTATTCACACCCTACCTTGCTATTAGCATCAGCAGCGAATTTGTCAGCAGCAACCACATCAGAAGGTAACAATAAAGATACCCCCTTAGCCTTGGCCTTCTCCATTAGTGAAGTTGCAAGATCAAGCTTATCCTCCTCAACAAGTGAAGATCCCACACCATGTCCTTGGGCTTTGTAGAAAGTATAGATCATTCCTCCACCCAGCAAGAGAAGGTCTACCTTCTCTAACAGCGACTCGATAACACCAATTTTACTGGATACCTTTGAGCCACCAACAATCGCAGCAAAGGGCTTCTTGGGGTTGGAAACAGCTCCGACTAAATAGTCAAGCTCCTGAGAAACAGGAAAGTTAGTACACACACACAGTGCTTGTTCAATCATACAGATGAAAATCAACTGCAGTTATAGTCATGAAATAACTCAAGCTCCATTGATAGAAATTTTGATTTAGAATATTTCTCATAAATATTCAACGAACAGTTGACACCTGCAGTACTGGATATATTAATGGACCATGCTGTATGGAAACTAGTTTTTCTGTCAAATTACCGAATATGAAGCAAATCTAAATTATCTGCATACCTTCTGCATAAGGAATCCAGCAACAGAAGGCTTCAAGTACTTAGTCACTCCCTCTGTCGAAGCATGGGCTCTATGTGCAGTTCCAAAGGCATCATTAACATACAAGTCTGCAAGGGATGCAAGCTTCTTTGCAAACTCAGGATCATTCTTTTCCTCTTCTTTGTAAAATCTAACATTCTCCAAGAGAAGAACACCTCCTTCCGGGAGTTCGCCGACCAATTTCGCAACTTCTTCACCTATGCAGTCGTTAGCCATTTTGACCTATTGATAACGTAGAGACGAGATGAGCAAAGAACCATCTTCTAACAACAAATTGATTGCTTCAACCCAAAAAAACCTCTATAATATAGTAATTTAAGGGAAAACCAACCTCAACTCCAAGTAGTTCAGAGAGCTTGAGCACAAGAGGCTTCAAACTGAACTTTGGCATAACACCTTTCGGGCGCCCCTAAAGCAAATCCCACAAAACAGACTGAGAACAATCTTTCATCCACACAAGTAAAGCAAATCACACTTAATAGACTTAAAAAACCTTCCAAACTCTTAATATCAACTCAAATCAAATTGTTATGAAGCACGAAAATAAATTAACCTATAATTACCACGAAACATAACAAAGATCCGAAATCAATGGAAATCGCAATCTATAAAATGACAAAATATCAAATATCAAGGATCAAGTACCCAGCAGTAAAATACATATCTCCAAATTGATCAATCGGATCGAAACAATATAAATCATAAATAGCCATAACGATTCAACTAACAAATAGAAGTTATACATACAAGGTGAGAGGCGAGGATGACTTTAGAGCCAGAACCGATCAAATATTTGATGGTGGGGACGGCAGCTCTGATTCTAGTGTCGTCGGTGATGTTGAAGTTATCATCCAATGGAACGTTCAGATCCACTCTAACGAACACTCTCTTCCCCTTCAGATCCGCTTCCTTCAATGATCCGACGCTCTTCTTTGTCGCCATTTATACCAAAAACCTAAACAAACACAAAATCAAATCCAAGTATCATATACATAATCAGAAATGTGCACGTATATTTGCAAACATAGGATTACTCGAAAAAGGATAATAGTTGATTGAGCTTACAATGTACAAATCGAGGTGCGAGTAAAGAGACTATAATGCAGTGTAATCCCGTCGAGTCGAAGGATCGAGAATTTATATGTTAGATAATGGCATAAGATGAGGGTGGTTTTGCCAAAGAGCGCTAGGGATTCCTAATTTTGACGGAGACACCGTGGTTTGCGGTGACACCGTGGGCGTACCTTGGGCCAAGGCAAATTGTATTGGAATTTAAAGCTTGTTTGTTTCAAAAATTCCTTTTTTTCAAATTTTTTTTATAAATTCATTTTCAACCACACATTCTTATAATAAAATATTTTACACGTAAACTCAAAATTTTTTCACACTTTTAACTGGTATTTTAAAAAATTCATCTAGGCTGCACCTAGATATTTTTTTTCCAATTTCTAAACGGTTTAATTTTTTTATTCCTCTATTTTATTTTTCCTAGACGTGCATCATCATCATCATTATTATCATCCTTCTTCTTTTTAAAGTCTTTTATTTGCCTTTTGCTTATTAGGTTTTTTCATTTTTTTAAAAAAATAAATTATTTGACTTTAATTTCAAGTTCTTAAAAAAATTTATCTGCACAAAACTTAAAAAATGACTTTATCTAAATAATTAAATAAGATTTAAATTATTGTGTATTTATATTATGTAATTATCATCTTGAGACTTTTTATTTTGTTGCAAACTCCAAAAACGTATATGAAGATTCTATAAATCTATTAAGTGAGACTTGTCTATTTGAAAATTGAAACTATAAAAAATATTCTAATTTTTACATTTCGAAAATTTGAAAATTGTATAATTGACTGGTGATAGGAATTATTAAGTGTATATAATATTTTATAATTTTAGATATTTGATATGTATTATTTTAATTATTAAATGATTTTTAAAATGATTAACAATGTAAAATAAGAAAACGTTTTTTTACGCTTAAGTCTCTCCTAGACTCGTTTAAGCTTGTGAAACTTGAAACTTCTCAGCCACGCCTAATCACGTTTTACACTTTTTAGAACACTACTTTTAACTGTCACATTCGCGAAAAAAATAAATATTCTAGAACACGTATTTCTCAAAAAAAAAAAANAATGATTAAAAATTTAAAATAAGAAAAAGTTTTTACGCTTAAGCCTCGCATAGACTCGTTTAAGCTCGTGAAACTTGAAACTTTTCGTCCACGCCTAATCACGTTTTACGCTTTTTAGAACACTATTTTTAACTACACATTCGCCAAAAAAATAAATATTCCAGAACACGTATTTCTCAAAAAAAAAAAACTATTGTAGCATGTGTGAGAGTTGTTTATAGTCAATGTAAAATGGATTGTACATGTGGATTTAAGAACAAATAATTTGACTTAAAGCTCAAAATGGACCCAATCTACATTGCATATTAGTGTGGGCTACACTAAGTGTTGTACATGTAGTGGGGTTGTTGTAATTTAGAGGGAAGAAAGGTATGGAATTTCTATTTGAGTTTTGCTACATCATGATTGACACTCTCGTATACAATTTCCTTACAATATGGAAGGCCCACAATAACAGAACCCTTTAAATTTTGTTGGTTCTATAAAATCATAATAACTCGTACAATTTGAATCTTTATAAGAAAATGGAGACGCACACTCCATAATTAATTAATTATATGTTTGATTCTTAAAAATATATTCTTTTATGACATCTTATTGTCATTCTTTTCAATAGTTTTTTATTAGGGCATGTTACATGACATGGTATGTGCAGTCACCAAATGCATGTAAATCGACATATGATGTAGGCGGAAGAAAAAAAAAATGAAGAATTGAATAACACAAGTCCACAAGTTATTGATTCATAATCGATTTAAATCGAAGAATTGAAGAAAATCTCACAATCTTTAATATTTTAATCAAACCATAAACCCCAAACCAACAGGCCTCCTTTTAACCTAATTCCAACTTTAATTGAAATTTCACACTTGGTACTTGAACTCCTAAAAATCATTAAAATTGACCCAAATTATCTAAAATGACATTGGATGGCAAAATGGCTTGTCGGCTC